AAAATACCATTTCTATACCAGTGACTCCCAAATATTTATCTTTAAAAAAAATTTTTTTTTTAATTTATTCATTTTTGAGAGAGAGAGACAGAGCATGAGCAAGGGAGGGACAGAGAGAGAGAGGGAGACACAGAATCTGAAGCAGGCTCTGGGCTCTGAGCTGTCAGCACAGAGCCCAATGTGGGGATTGAACCCACCAACCATGAGATCATGACCTGAGCCAAAGCTGGACGCTTAACCGACTGAGCCACCCAGGTGCCCCCTCCCCACCAATATTTCTCTTTATTCTAGATCTCTCTCCTGAGCCTCAACAGCCTCCACCTGAAACCCAACACTTTGAAAATCCAGACTATTTACTCCCAAACCTATGTCACCTGCAACTTTCCCTGTCTCAGTTGGTGGCACTTCCAGTTCTTCCAGTTGTTTCAGGCCAAAATCCCCTGGAGTCATGTTTAAGCTCCTATACCTCATATCCTGTAGGAAATCCTGGTTGCTCCACTGTGTAAACATCCAGACCCTGAACTGCCCACTGTCATCCCTTCCTCTCTTCTGACATACTCCACTCCTGACAGGTATTTATGCTTCTCAACCCAGCAGCTACAGAGTCCTTCTCAAGGTAAGCCTGCTCTTGTCACTTCTATGCATTGGCAGTGGCGCTCCTTCTTGGGTAGAGTAAGCAGTCTGGTCCCTGAGCATTGTCACCCTCAACTTGGGATGTATCTTTCAAGGGGTCACAAAGTTGGCACTAAAGAGTTATGATTCATGGAGGTTGTGTAGTTCAAATTAAACCAAACAAACAAACAAACAAAACACTATGCTGTTTGGGAGCCTTTAGGACACATTAGGGTCTGTCATAGGAAATGAACTTTCTAGGAAATTGATCCTACAAAATTATATAGTTAATTAACATCTCAGAGCCTTGGTTTTGTGTCCCTGTTCTGACTCTTGTTCATTATTTATTCCACTTAAAACACTCTTTGCCTCTTCCCTTATTTTCCAACAATGAACCTCACATGTCATTTTTTAAAGGTATTTTTCTGCCACTCCCCCCCCCCACCTCCCCACACTTCCCAGTCAATGAATGATCTCCCTCCATGCCTTTGTGCTTCCATTAGTTTATTTAATCAATACTAATTGGGTCCTTTACAATGTTTCAGGAATACAACTGAGAACAAAAGGGAGGAACTCCATCTTAGAGGAATTTGTGGCCTAGAATGAGTGTTTTTCAAGACCATAGCCATGCATGGCTATTTAAATTTAAATTAATTAAATAAATTAAGTTAATTTTTTTTAACTTCTCAGTCGTACTAGTTGCATTTCAATGTGGCTAATAGATACTATACCGCACAACATCCATATGCTAGAATAACTCCATCATCATGGAAAGTTCTATTGAACAGTATATGAGAAAAGAAGGATGGACAACACACACACACACAATCAAGGGCAACAAGGTAAGAAATGCTGCACAGAGAACTGAAATACTGTAATGAGTGACTGGTTGGCTAATTCAGACAGAGGGACCAGAAGAATGTCTGAGAAGGGTGACAATTAAGCAGGGGTCAAAAATAAAAAGAGAAATCTGAAACTGGTGGGGTAAAGGAATGGAGATCTAGGCGCAGAGGGCACCACTAGAGAAAAAGTCATAATGTGGGAATACATTTGAAAGAACCTCAAATGGCTGGAGCCCTGTGTCAGGGGAGAGAGACATAGAAGAAATCTGAAAGGTAGTCAGGGGCCAGATAACTGTGGGGAACTTGTAAATCTGGGTAAGAAGTTAGAGTGTTATTTTACATTTTGTTGTTGTTTTCTGAGAGAGCCATGGGAGCATCGTAAGGGGAAGAGCGACAGTCTGATTATATATTTACCCATTACATCATTCTGCCTGAATTTATTAGTTGTTTATTTACCTGTCTCTCCACCTGATTGCACAATCCTGGGTTTTTTCATTCTTAGTATATTAAGTCATGCTGCATTAGCCTCACTATATTGATAGCAAATGTGGTAGGATTGAATTAAATTAGAAGAATCCTTATCACCGACCTTTGGGGTTTTGGCTGAGTCTCAGAGTATAACAAAACTAGTCATAAAATATTTTGCCTCCCAAATAAATATAAGGCATGACCTACTTCTTTGTGATGCATTTCAGAATGTGTTCCCCCACTTTTGGTGGTGGTCAAGGTGAGGTCAGCAGTGTTTCTTCCAAGTGTATAACGGAGGAGAATAAGAGGATGGGAATCCAGAAATGAACTTGTCCCTTGCGAGAACTCATCTTGTTACCCAACTGAATTTAAGCGTGTGGCATCATAAAGATACGAGGGCTAATAAAGATCATATAGTCCAAGCACTGGATGGAAGAGGTGAATTTCAGCAAATAGGCGAGGGGACAGTCGATATGAAGTTCCAGTAACAGGAAGGAGCTTGTGTTCATGAAGGTGGAGCAGAGTCTAAGGCAGGGGCCTCCTCTAGCCAAGGCCTCCTCCAGACACAGAAGCCCCCCCCTCCTTCCCCGCCCCTGCCACTCCCAACAGGGTTGGTGCAGGGGCAGGCTGGAGAGGGCATACTCTAAGGAGACTGGGTGGTAAAGGCCATTGCTGACCATCTAATTGTATTTCATAACAAAACTGAAAAACTGAGTTCTCACATGGGCTCTCTAGATTTCTAAATGGTAGCCATTAATTAAAAATGCATTTTTTTTCTGGTTCAAATAATTTCTTTTTTATTTTTTAAGTCAATTGTTAAAACAACTTTTGTCATGTCATTTGGAAAGGTGAAATTCATTGGAGTTTTATATTTTACAGGAAAGGAACAAAGTGAGAAAGGAAAGAGGGAGGGAAGGAGGGAGAGAGGAGAGAATTTTCTTTTTCTTTTTTTAAATAGTTTATTGTTAAGTTGGTTTCCATATAACACCCAGTGCTCATCCCCACAAGTGCCCTCCTCCATGCCCATCACCCCCCTTCCCCCCCCCCCATACCCATCAGCCCTCAGTTTGTTCTCAGCATTCAAGAGTCTCTCATGGTTTGCCTCCCTCCCTCTCCCCCACTATTTTTCCCCTTCTTCTCCCCTATAGTCCTCTGTTAAGTTCCTCCTAATCCTCCCATACATGAAAACATATGTATATGTATCTGTCCTTCTCTGCCTGACTTATTTCACTCAGCATAACACCCTCAAGGTCCATCCATGTTGCTACACATGGCCAGATTTCATTCTTTCTCATGGCCATGTAGTATTCCATAGCATAGATAAACCACATCTTCTTGATCCATTTGTCCGTTGATGGATACTTAGGCTCTTTCCATGTTTTGGCTATTGTTGAGAGTGCTGCTGTGAACATTGGGGTACATGTGCTCCTATGCATCAGCACTCCTGTGTCTCTTGCGTAAATTCCTAGCAGTGCTATTGTTGGGTCCTAGGGGAGTTCTATTGTTAATTTTTTGAGGAACCTCCACACTGTTTTCCAGAGGGGCTGAACCAATTTACATTCCCACCAACAGTGTAGGAGGGTGCCCATTTCTAAACATCCTCACCAGCATCTAGAATACTCTGATTTGCTCATTTTAGCCACTCTGACCGGTGTGAGGTGGTATCTCAGTGTGGTTTTGATTTGTATTTCCCTGATGAGGAGGGATGCTGAGCATCGTTTCATGTGTCTGTTGAACATCTGGATGTCCTCCTTTGGAGAAGTGTCTGTTTATATCTTCTGCCCATTTCTTCACTGGATTGTTTGTTTTTTTGGGTGTGGAGTTTGGGGAGTTCCTTATAGCTTTTGGATACTAGCCCTTGATCTGATATGTCATTTGCAACTATCTTTTCCCCTTCCTTCGGTTGCCTATTAGTTTTATGGATTGTTTCCTTTGCTGTGCAGAAGCTTTTAATCTTGATGAGGTCCCAATAGTTCAAAAAATGAATTTTTTAAATATTATTTTTTGAAGTAATCTCTACACCAATGTGGGGCTTGAGCTCACAACCCCAAGATCAAGAGTTACATGCTCTATTGACTGAGCCAGCCAGGTGGCCCAAGAAGTAAATTGTAATCACCATGGTTACAAAACACTTCTGTGGGCCAAATATAGTCTTCAGGCCACGAGTTTGTAGTATTAGGCTTTAGGTCTTTTTTCCAGGTGCAGAGACTGTTGGAGTCAGGAGTTCACATTCCCAGGCAGCACAGGACCCATTGCCACCGTCTTCATGTCTCCATGAAACCTATGATGGGCTGCAAGTAGCTTAGAAATGGAACATCATTACCTTCCTGGGAGGAAGTTACTGAGTCTTTAGACCAGAGGACTGGGAAGCCTACATACACTTGTATGGCTGAATGATTAAATGCAAAAGTCAGAATACCTTCTCTGGCACCTCGGCTCACTTAACATCTACAAGCCTCAGTTTCCTCTTCTATGAATGAGGTTAATGTCAGGACCTGTCTAAGGAGATCTGTGAGGATTAAGTGCATGTGGGTGTTTGGCATAGAGCCCGCCACATAGTAAGTTTCTTGAAAATCTTGGTTAGCATTAATGCATATTTACATTTCATTTTCAAAGGTCTCCCACATTGTTTTTGCTCATTATAACAATCCTTTGAGGGAGACAGAACAAGTATTTTTAGTGCTACTTTACAAATGAGGAAGTCAAGGCTTGGAAGATCTCAGGAATTCACAGAGTTACCCAGTTTCACAAGTGACAGAGCTGGGATCTAAACTCAAGTCTGGTCCAGAATCTGCTTCCTGACACATTCTCCTGACATCACTCAGTGAGATGTCTGAGTCATTGCTTCCCGTAACATGGTCAGGCACAGCGATTTACATTCTTGATTCATTCTTGCTACTGGTAAACCTGACAGTATAACTAAGGCTGTTGACTGATCATTGTAGACACAGAGCAGGAAGTTCTCTGCACTCATTAAAGGGCCAGTTGACTCATCTCAGAGACCAAGGGTAAGTGAAGACCAGTCTTTGCTGTGATGTTCCCCTCACTGAGCCTGCCACTGGTTTCCCTCCTGTTTGCCCCTGTACCCCCTGTGTCAGCATCAGGAGTTGGTTTGGACTCTGTGGGGAAGGAGCTGGGAAACAAGGGCTGCTCTGAGGACAGTTTGCTTGTCTTTGGAAGGTTGCAGGATGCTCAGTCACCCTGGAGATAACTGACACATGAAGCTGTTGTGCATGATCTCTCCTCACTGACAGAGCAGGCTCATGTGATTCACTTAGTCAGCGTGAAAGAAGAAGTTGCAATCTGAGAATTAAGACTTGTTCCGAGACCATCTGGTGAGGGGCACACCTACCAGTCTGCTTTCTCTTTCCTTCAGGTCGATATCATCATGCAACCTTGGGTAGCCGTCTTCAGCCCCATACTACTTCTGACAGGTAAGTGAATAGATGGGCCAGGGTCTGGAAGCCCTGGGGACTGGGAAGTGTAGGAGATGTGTGAGTGTTGTGTAGGAAGATGGGTGTACCTAGGCTTTGGTGAAGGCAATGGGTCAGTTAGTGAGCAAAGAACCAGGCTAAATCTTATTCAAAAGAAATTGCTTAAATGCTATGAATCACAACATCCATGTGTAAGTGAACCAGACCCAATGCAGAACTGTGGATCATATCTTGTCATTTGTGTTTAAACAATAAAAGGGGTGAGTAGTGTCAGCATACATGATTAAAGTGTATGAAGGATATAGTGACAGTGTTGCCATGAGCAGGAGGGGATGGGTGAAGAAGCTGAGATAAGATGGAAAGGGAACCAATCCTCCATCGAGCCATCCTGCGTCATTTCATTTTTTAAAAATGCTGTGCAATTATTTCTTTTAAAAGACTCTTAAATATAAAGAACAAAGGAAAGGATAGTGGGGGGGCAGAGGAGAGGGGGAAATGGGTGATGGGCATTGAGGAGGGTGCTTGTTGAGATGAGCCCTGAGTGCTGTATGTGAGCGATGGGGAATCTACCCCCAAAATCAAAGAGGACACTATATATACTGTATGTTAGCCAACCTGACAATGAATTATATTAAAAAAAAAAAGAAAAGAATAAAAGCACCCTTCAAAAGTTAAAAAAATACTAAATAGTGTTTGAGGACATGATTATGCTTAATCATGAAGTATCTAGAGTATTCCTTTTAAATTAGAATTGAAAAAAGCATGTTTATAATTGATAAGAGAATGTAGTGATATAACTGTATGTAAAATCAATGTATAGGCGCGCTCTGATGGCTCAGTTAGTTGAGTGGCCAACTCTTGATTTCTGCACAGATCTTAATCTCAGGGTTCGTGAGATTGAGCACCATGTCAGATTTCCAGAGTCTGCTTGGGATTCTCTCTCTCCATCTCTCTGCATGCATGTATGTGCACTCTCTCTCAAAATAAAACATTTTAAAAAATAAAAAATGATAAGTAAATAAAAACACTTTATTTCAAAACCTTCCATGAGGTAGAGAGCAAAGTTAGGAATAAGCATATGCATAAATTTTAAAAACAATAATCTCCAGAAGTCAGATTATGGGGGATTCTTATTATAACTTGTATAACTTGATGTTTATAATTAGCATATATTATATTTGTAATTATATAAAATGATATTAGGCAAAACTAAATATTTTAAGAATTCAGTGAAAAAGACTTTTTCTTATTTTATGTAACCATGAACATTTTATTCCTGGAGCATTTCCCAAGGTAATAGCCCAAATTCTAAATGTGATTGGTTGGTGAATTTCAGATTTCTTTTCATGGCCACCTTGACTGCATTTGGCACTGTAGGGTTTTTATGCCATTGCCCCAGGAGAGACTTCTTGTTTTTGTTTTTTAAGTGGCATAATTTAATACTTGATTGAGTGTTTTCCAATTCTCTGTTTTCACAGAGGAAGTGGGCCTTGCTCAGTTGTGGGGCTTATATCAACTTATGAGAAGGAGCCCCTACTGGAATTTTTTAGACTGATCCTAAAGCTCATGATAAACCTCAGCTCTTCCTAGAATTATTAGAAACCCATTTTCTAAAAATTGGTTTCTTTTTAAAATGTTTATTTATTTTGAGAGAGAGAGGTCATGGGGGTGGGGTAGAGAAAGAGGGAGAGAGCAAATCCCAAGCAGACTTCATGCTGTCTGTATGGAGCCCCATGTGGGACTTGAACTCACGAACTGCAAGATCATGACTTGAGCGGAAATCAAGAGTCAGACGCTTAACAGACTGAGCCATCCAGGCACCTCAGCCAATAATACTTTAAACAAAACATTAGTTCCGCTTTTATTTTTTTAGTGTCTATTTATTTTGAGAGAGAGAAAGAGAGAGGGAGCAAGTAGGGGCAGGGGCAGAGAGATAAGAGAGAATCCCAAGAAGGCTCCACACTATCAGTGCAGACCCTAACATGGGGCCTCAACTCAAAAACTGCAAGATCATGACCTGAGCCGAAATCAAGAGTCAGACACCTAATGGACTAAAGTATGCAGGTGTCCTGAGCTCTCCTTTACTCATTAGAGAGGTATTGTGAGGGGACATCACTTGCAATACCAGTTTAAAAAGCTGCGATAAAAATTAAAACTTTAAATGCAATAGAATTTTTCAAACATATTTCATTTGAGATAGTGATTGAATCTGGGACAGTGGAAAAGCCACATGTATGTATTACCTATTTAATAAGCACATACCTGTCAAACACAGGATGAAATACATACTCATGTATTACTGGAGTGTCATTTGGTTCAAACCTTTTGGAAATAAATTTGGCAATGTTCCTCAAGAGAGTTAAAATCCTCCTGGTAATTTCTCTCTTAGGTAGTCCTGTTAGAACATAGTCCTAAATACTGTAAAAAAAAAGCTTTAATTATATCTTATCTACAAATATCAAATAAGTAATGCTTTTAAGAATATGTTGACATAAAAATGCTTATAAATTTTTTAAATTGAAGATACACATTCATATGATTACAAATGAGAGAAACTGTATAAAAAGAAAAAAGTGAAAATAAACATAAAACTCAAATATTGAGGCCTCATGCTCTCTTTCTCTTTATTTACAGATGCTGTAGTTTCTTATGTACAAATGAATGGAGTGGTGAGTCAGTCTGCCACTCTCTCCTGCACTTACTCGACAGCTAATGGAGTCACCACCATGTGCTGGGGCAGAGGGGCATGTCCTGTGTCCCAATGCTCAGATGAAATTATCTGGACTAATGGATCCCACGTAACCTTTCAGAAGCACCCGCGTTATAAGCTAAATGGGAATCTTTTAAAAGGGAATGTGTCCTTGACCATTGAGAATGTGGCTCAGACGGACCGTGGTCTCTACTGTTGCCGTGTTGAACACAGGGGGTGGTTCAATGATATGAAACTCACCCTGTTATTGGAGATAAAGCCAGGTGAGCCTATTCTCCTTCCTCTGATCACTTGATGTGGGTTAACTGAGATGTTGACTGTTTGGTAGTGTCTTTCTCCTTTAATAGAGAAAGAGGAGGTTCTTCCTATCCTGTTCTTCAGCAACTGTTGGAAAATAGAATAACTTTAATTTGTATAAAATGAAGTGTTAGGCCAATCTTGATTCAAGATGATAGGCTACAGGATCTTCCCAGTTAGCAAACTATCTCTTACAGCAGTGCTTCAAAGGGGCACCTGGGTGGCTCAGTTGGTTAAGCATCTGACTTTGGCCTTGGTCATGATCTTGCCCCCAGTTTGAGCCCTACGTCAGGCTCTGTAATGACAGCTCAGAGCTTGGAGCCTGCTTCAGATTCCATGTCTCCTCTCTCTGTCCCTCCTCTGCTCATCCTCTGTCTCTCTGTCACTCAAAAATAAATAAACTCTGAAGCAGTGCTTCAAAAAATGCTAGTTCATTCATGAAAAAGCATTCACTGTTCCACTGTGGAATATAGTGTACATTTTTATTAAGCTGAATTTATTCAACTTAAAGAACTGCCTTTTTTTTCTCTGAGGTTATGTTTTAGAAGAGGTCCTAAATGTCTTTAACATTTTAAAAAGTATTTTGGAGCATTTCAAACGTATAAAGTAGGTAATATGATATAAGGTCTTAACTTAGTAGTAGCACCCAGCTATAACAATTGTCAACTCAATCTTGTTGCAATTCTTTTTGTAAAGGGATATATAGCTCCATTCCTTCCTTCTGCCTTGCCTGGGAATTTTTGTAGCGTATTTCACATCACATTGCAAAACTGCTTCTTTAAAAATGAAAGTGGCCTTATTGCAATATTAAAACATTTATATACCAATAACTATTCACCAGTTGCTTTGAAGAATTTCATGAAATCCTGAGCCCCTGAGTGGCTCAATCAGTTAAGCATCTGACTTCGACTGAGGTCATGATCTCACGGTTCATGAGTTCAAGCCCCGCGTAGGGCTCTGAGCTGACAGCTCGGAGCCTGGAGTCTGCTTCAGATTCTGTGTCTCCCTCTCTCTCTGCCCCTCCCCTGCTCATTCTCTGTCTCTTAAAAATATTAGGTTAAAAAAATAATTTCATGAAATCCAAAAATCTGTCTTGATGTGAACATCCTCATTTTCTTTACCACTGGATAAATGGAGTGGATTCTTCAGGATTCCCTGGTTTCTGGTGTTCTTTCCTAATGAATTTCCTTCCACTAAACTCATTGACAATAGAACCCAATACCTGTGGTCTTAATAAACTCTCTGTGTCTTTCTGTCTCTGTCTCTTTTTCTCTTAAATTAAGAGGAACTTGATTTTGCAATCTACTAACTTTTGGACACGGCCTGTTTCTTTTGTGAAGGCAAGTGGGATAAGGTCAATTCTGATGGAGAAAATAGCTGACTCTGAGGAAACTACATCTGGAAAGCAATTTAGGGAAGCTCAAGTAAGCTGGCGACTGTAATGTGCTTTAGACAGAAGTGAGGAGACAGCGTATTGAGAAGAGATGATGAGTATAACTTTTTTGTATTTGTGAAACTTTTTATGGTTTGGTTGAATGTGAAGAACTGATATAGCTAGAAATTAGTAGGACACTTTTCAAGCACTTCAAAATTCTTTAATAGGTGGGCATTTCCAAGGGCAGTGCCCTGTCAAGTAGGAAAAGGGTTCATAACTGAGCCAAGGTGACTCTGCCTCCAATAACTAACTCTTTGCTTAAGCTGGTCTTACATTTTTCATAGGCTGAAATTACTCTTCAAGCTTCTGTTAGGACTTCCCCTCCACCCCCACCAGCATCTATAGTTACAGTTTCCTAGATTCTGCATGTGGAAAAATATTTACCACTGAAGAAACCAAGTTCTTTGGACAATTCGATTAAGCTATCTCCTCTTTATTGCTTCCCTTACTCTCCTTTGATCAGATTTTTTGCATACTTGGTTTTAACTGGAAGGAAGGGATTTGATTGTGCTCTTTTTGAAACACTATGACTACAACTTAGATCAGAGTCGGTAAACTATAGCTCCAGAGCTAGATCAGATTACAAAACAGGCCCATTGTTTTTATAAATTTTTATTAGAGCAGCCATACCCATTTGATATATATTGTCTATGGCTGCCTTCCCACTGACAGAATTCTGCAACTGTGTCTGAGACTATAGGGTGCCCAAAGACTGAAGTATTTACTATCTGGCTCTTACCAGAAAGTTTGCTGATGTCTACTTTAGACTAATGATTCACATATAATAGACATTCACAAATATTTGTTGAAAAAAGTTTTTCCTCTTAAGAGTATAAAATAATTAGATCTTTCAGAAGAGTTTTCAAACCAATTGTCCCCTATATAAGTGACATGGGTTTTCTTTTGTAGTTAGTTAAGTTGAAATTTAAAGAAACTTCTTGTGGAGAAAAACGGTACCTTGTGAGATCAGAAGTTTACATTCTTGATTCAGTCCTTGTTGGGGCTTAATTCTGGTTTCGTTTCTCTCTGGGTGGTTCTGATACCTTCACTAAGTAGTTTGGAATCCTACTCTACTTCTGACTCCAGAAAGAGTCTATGTTATTAGCTATTGTTACTATCTCTTAGGTGGAAAGGAACCGTAAAATGTCTAGTTTACCTTCTAACCAAATGTATAAATCATCTGTGTGATTTATCTAGCTAATATGCTAATGGTGTGAGTTAGCCTTCATTTAGGTTGCAGGTCCTCTATTGGCATGGTATTGTCAAGAGTGACTGAACTGAATGCTATTTATTTGGTAAGCATTCTGGGCCTGGGAATTTCTATGGATGGCTTAGTCATTCACCACTGAGATGGTAAAGACAGCTCCAGGCTCTAGACATTTTCCTTAACTCACAGATGTTTATGAAGATACATAAATCTGATATGCATGACTGATCTTAAAGTGCTTCAGTGCAAATCCCAGGTGTCATTTTTCATCTCTGAACCTCACCAAATATATACCTTTTAATGAAGCTGTTTCCTTTTTGCAAGTATGTCTTCAAGCCCTTCTCTGTCACAGATTCTAGTGGACCAATGACAAGAACTCTGAGTTCAGGGAAAACTTGTGCCTAATTCTGCCTGGGGACAGTCTTCCATTGGTTGTATTGGTACATGGGCCCAGAACAAGGCTCTTGTTTCCTGCTGCTTGACTAATCCTTGCTTTCATATTCATTTCTAACTCCAGCTGAGTTCACCAGTGTTCCAACGTCACCTAGGGTCTTTACCTCTACTTCTTCAATGCCAGCACCCACGCAGAACCTCAAGCCAGGTAAACAAATGTGTTCCTTGAGCCCTGAGGTCTTCTAATGAGAAGATGTAGACCATATAGGGCATTGTGTTAAAGCAGAAGTACAATCTAGGCTAAGTGTTCTTACCTGGGTTCCAAATGTGGGCTTCATAGGGTCTGTGAACCCCTGTCCCAAATTATATGCACCTTTTTATATATAATCATTTTTAGAGAAAGGAGACTCACAGTTTTTGGTCAGATTCTCTAATGCATTCATTATTAGCAACTCTGCACCCACCCCACCCCCAACCCCTGCCCAAAGCCAGACCATTGATCTTAAACATCTAGTGAGGATGGAGTGGATTTGCCCCAGTTGGGCACAGTTTGTAAGGAAAAAATAGGGAATTCCAGAGAACAGGGGTCAGGTTAATGAGATTCTGCCCTTACAAGGAGCTCTGAATAGAGATCAGTTAGTACATTCTGAAGCTGGACCTCCACTTGAGGATACGATTTCAGTGAAATTAACATATACTGTGACTTCTAAGTTATAGGACCCATGTTAATTGCTTTACAAGTATTATATTACTTCATATAATACTTATGACAACCTCTCTGCACTCTGGGTATGATTCAATTCCATTTAATAGTTGTGAGAACTAAGGCACAGAGTTGAAGTTCATTGTGGAAAGGTATATAGATAGAAAGTACTTGAATCAGGATTCATTCTCCATTAATTTGAACTTTGCATTTGTGCTTTTAACTACTAGATTGTGCCTTCTACCATGAGTATGAGCTTATATTTGGATGAATTTGTCCCGATCTGACAAGATCCCTTGTCATCTCTGGGAAGTCAATCTACTTACACAGTTTTGCTTCTAGCATCTTTTAATTTATTTATGTAGCATGGAAATGGCAAAAGATACTATTTATACTTATGAAAAAGTGAACATCAGATTTAAAGATTTCCGGGATTTAGAACTTATACTTTTTTTTTTCCCATTCAGGCCACGTGGTTAATACTTCAAACTTCTGCTAAATAAGAGTTTAGATTTAATACAAATGGAAAATAATTTGATTTAAAGGTAGAGAAATAGCTTCCATTCTGAGGACAAGTTTAGGTTCAAACCTTCTATCTCTAGGATTAAATAGATAACTTTCAGTGGCGATTCTTAAATCCTCCAAAACTCTTTGACCCCTTGGGGTAGCACTGGCTTCTGAGGAATAACAGATGTCACAACCTTTTAGCCATAAAAATCTGAGGGAACGTATTGATTTCCCTCGACTCCTATTGAACCATATGTATATTTAATCAGGAGGGATCTGAAGTATTGGGCTTAAAGCTGAGTCTGGAAGAGAGAGCTTTAGGTTAAAACTAGGATTTTAGATCCATAAAAGTTTGTAAGAAAAACCGCTTTGTTTGAGGCAGCTGAACACATAAGAGAATCTGTTGGCTTTCTCAATATTGATTTAGCTTCAGAATATTTAGTTTGTGCCTGCAAATGTGGATGGATTAGTGGACTTGGTTTGGTGAACATGCATGTTTAAAGCAAAGGTTGAGAAGAAAAGTGTTGGTTTATAAGACCTCCTTAGGGATAGTATTGATTGAGCCTTATCCTTGTCTTGATGATTTTCTTAAGAGTTTGAGTTGAGTTGAACAGGAAGGAGGTGCACATTGGAGCACATGGGGACACTTATCCTTATATCCACTCTCTTCTTGTGCTCAATGCCTCTTGTATATACTAGCTGCCTAAAAAATTCATGAAATAGTTGGATGTAAGGTTACAGAAACAGGGGAGAAAAGAAAGGTGCCTGCTAAGATGCAAACTTGGAGAAAAGTTAAGCCCAAGAGGTCTTTTGAAAAGATCCAAGTTGATTAAAGGTTCTGATCACCTGAGTTTCTTATATTCTCGTGTTCTTAGTTCTTCAACAGAACTACATGCTATTATAGATTTGACCATTTAAGAGAAGCAGGAAAATAGTTCAAAACACAAGAAAGGGTAAAGTTGAACTGTGGAGATCACTGTGGGGAAGGAAAAACAGAAAGACCAACAAAAGGCAAGAAAAACCCAGGTTGGGAACTCTTTGTCCAGCCGGCACTATTAACTTGCTCCAAAATTTGTGGTGCTCTAAGAGGAAGGTATATAAAAATAAAATATTTAAAATATTTAATAACATGCACAAAGAGGAAAGTGATCAATGCTGCATGTAAGGTGAGATATCTGATAGAAAAGAAAGAAGTGTCTTTAGAAAGGAAAGGGAGACCTAGCACCGTACTGGAAAATTTTTAGTGAAGCTCTTGGTGTGAAACCTAAGATGAGTCAGAGAACACAGGAAATCAGTCTTATGAAAGGAGTGACCAGAATGTAATTGCACAAGGAGCCAGGTCAAGGTCTGCCAAGAATGTTGGTTTTAGACTTGTTAATCATCACCAAGGTTCAGACATTGGACAATGTTGTCACCTTGAAGAGACCTCAAGGAATTAAATATTCTGAGTGTGCATTCTGTGCTGATGTGTGGATGGATAACTGGGAACTTGAATAAGCCAGGAAACCTAGATGGCGGTGTTGTGAAGGGGAAAGGGCAAATTAGGACAGACTCCCAGACCCTATTCCCATGAAAGTGCAATGTCAGTTGTATGAATAAAAGCTTAATTGGATGTCCTATATAAGGTGCTGTTGTAGGCTTTTGGACATTTAGGGGTATCCTAGGAGTAGAAAAAGTATGAAATATCCCTATATATTGATGAACTATCCAGGCGATGATCTAGATCAGGTTTATTCATGATAATGGTATGCCTAGATAGCAGTACAATGCCTCAAGGCTATCTGTGATCAAATTTCCAAGAGGGGGTTGAAAGGACTAGAAGTGAGTGGGTGAGAGGCATGCCTTCAGGGAATGGCTCCTTCAGGGAATGGCTGCATGAAAGTGCTGTGGGAAGTTGATAATGATTCTTGATTTTAGTTGTGTTTTTAATTTTTGTTGGGGCTGGGAATTTTCTTCTACAAATAAAGCACAGTTCTGTTCTTTTCATTTCAATAGCTACTTCATCTTCTCCAGTGCAGACAGCAGAAACCCAGCCTACTGCATCACAGGAAACGAGCACAACACAGCCCACCAATTCACCATTGTACTCTTGCCCAACAGGTAACTTGATTTTTTCCCCTAAGCATCTGAGAGTATTCAAATTTTGATAATCACTGACACATTGTTAAAAGCATATATTTCAGAATAAGACAGATCTGACCTGAATGCTGATGCTGGTCCCTCCAATCAGCTATGTGATTTGAACACAAGTCTTACTGGTGCACCTGAGTGGCTCATTTAGTTAAGCATCCGACTTCGGCTCAGGTCATGATCTCAAGGTTCGTGGGTTTGAGCCTCGCATAGGGTTCTGTGCTGACACTTCAGAGCCAGGAGACTATTTCAGAGTCTGTGTCTTCCTCTTTCTCTACCCCTCCCCCACTCATGCTCTTTCTCTCTCTGTCTCAAAAATAAATAAAAAAACAAAAAAATTTTTTAGAAAACAAGTCTTACCTACTTAGAATCTGTTTTTACCATTTGTGAATGGTATGGGGATGGAATACCAATTGTCTTGTAGAATGCTTGTGAAGATCTTAAGACATAGTTAAAAAGTGGTAAGTAATATGTACAATCAGAACTCTGACTCTTACTTAGAATGCCCAGAATCCATATACCTACCTGACTGGCAGAGGTGGCTAGTGTGAGTTGGGAGCATCCACATGCATTTCACTATTTTTCTTAATCAAATCAATCAGTCTTGACTCCAGACTTATTAGCGGGCTTGCTCCCTTGGGCCAGAGCCTTAAAACAATTAAATCCAGCCCTCTGGTATCCAGACCAAACTGGTCAACCATGTTTATGCTTTATCTAACACCTAGGCCTAAGTATATATAGAAAGCTCCCCTGCTGCCCTGTGAATCTTGCAAATGGACCTTTGAGATTGGCTGAGGACATATGCCAAGAGGCATATCCTGCTAAGTTTGTCTCTTTACTTTCCCGCTTTTTCCCTACTGTCCCTATTCTGCGCAAGTCTCTTATAATCTCTGCTTTTTTGAAATGTAAGATTCACCTGTCTTCCTGTGGTAGAGAAAGGTGATTTGAGTTCTTTCATTTTTCCTAGTTAGCTCTGTTACCCATAGTGATAATTTGGGCGAGTGCCACATGCAAAGCCCCTTTGCAATGTAAAGTTGGCGTATCTGTACTTAATGCATGTGCTGAGTCCAAACAAGGTCAAGTCTTGCAAGACTCCTCCCTTATGTGTATGACTCATTGTGCTCAGGAGTTGCCAGTCTGTAGCCGCTGCCCCACCCCTGCCTTTGGCTTACCTTTTGCCAATCATTCCTGGAAGCTGGTTAATTTAAAATGGAGCTGCAGTGAGATTCACAGAGGGACCTATTCAGTTGGGATTAGATAATGGCTACATTTGGTTTTGAAAGTGGAATCCTTAGTGTGAACAGTTTCCGGGCACAAAACCAAAGTGAAAATAAATAGAAACACAAGGTAGCAGCAGTAGGAGCAGCTGCACCCCACGCTTTTAGGGTTTAAGTAGGAAGAACGTAGGAATAGGGAATCATTTTCTAAAAATCATGTCACTAAACCCTGGTCAAGGCAGAGCTTTCCAGAGTGAAACAGACATTGGAGCAGGTGTGTCCCCTATGAATTATGTGATTGTTGCCATCTTGGCAGTGTACCTGAGGTTCTCGAGCCAAGTCCTCACAGTGCCCAAGTCAGCCTGCAGTGGGCTGAAGTCTCACAGAAGCAAGGAATGTTAGGTCTGGAAGGGATTTTGGTGCTCATATGGCCCACCACCCACCTTAGATGGATGTATGTGCCAGGAAACTGTCGTATGTTATCTCACTTAGTTCTTTTAAGACAGGCCTTATTTATTGCCATTGCCAGCTTAGGGAGGCCATAGAATTCTCCTTTAGAGACAGCCAGCTCCCAGTTCAACTGCCAGTTATTAGCTGCATGCCCATGGGCAAGATGTTGCTTTCCTCACTCGATGTTAATGCTGATCGAAGGACATGATGTTTGGAAAGCACATTGCACAGTGACTCCCTACTGCTCCTTCTATTGTAACATATTAATTCATCATAGCTAAAATTTATCTAATATGCTGTTAAGTCCTTTACATGCATCATCTAATTAGCAACTTTATGAGATGGATACTATTACAGCTTATAGTTCTGTCTATATTACAAAATAGATATTTCAAAACTCTATTAAGATTTAAAGCTCTAAACTTTAGGGAATAATATCCTTTTATACAGGATATCAGGCAGTATAAGATATATTAGTTTTACAGCTGATGTAACAGGTATTTTATAAAATACTTCTGGATCAAAGTAGGAGCACATTGGCATATAATGTAAGAGTTGTATGCCATTTGTTTTAGATATCTTAGTACATTTTACTCACATTCTGAATAAAAACAATGTAATGTACATTCAGAATAGAGTGGTTCTGATCTTTGGATATGCATATGGTCTTTGGGTACTCATGGCCTATATGCCAGTTGTTAGCTGACATAAGAATATCGATTGCCTACCATTAAGTGTTTTTCTTAACTTGCTTCCAAGAATGGGCCTCTGTGAGTCCCCTAAAACTGTAGGTGAAATTTTGTGTGTACATGCATTTTTTTCCATAAAGAAGACAAAAAGCATCCATTTTTGAAGGGTCCATAACAAAATGGTTAAGACACACAACCTTATAGGATAAATTAATACGTGTTAGTAACTTGATATGACTTTTGCAATGTCTGCAGCATCATTCACTACCAGAATGCAGTGTGAATATATTTAGTGTCTACAATGAAAATTCAATATTTTTTGTAATTATAACTAATTTTCTTTCTTGTTGAGCAGATGGGAATATCACTGTGACACTATCTTCAGATGGCCTTTGGCATAGCAATCAAACTGTAAGCATATTTCTTCCTACTTTATTAGCCAGATTCACTTGCATGTCTCCCTGGAAGAAAGTTACATTTAGAGATTATTTCAGTAAGATTGGCTTATAGATTGATTCTTTCTAGTTAGTGTAAAAAAAAAAAAAAAGGAAGAAAAAAATTTGACTCTTAAATAGGGATACTTTAATTAATTTGAAAAGTTCATATGGGTGGGCCAGTTTGTGAGAATTTGCCTCCTAAATGGTATTACATTCTGTGTACACATACATAAACACACAAATGCACACCACAGACTTTCTCCTGGCCAAAAGTTAAGAAGAAAGAATGATCTATTTTAAGAAGAGTGAGTTAACATAATAGACCAAGGAAGACTTTAATTATCATTAGGGAAATAACACGCTTTGAATCGTGGAGTGGAGGTCACCTGAGACAAAAATATATCAGTGAAAGTGTGCTTGCTTAAGCATATCCTCCCTCATATTCTTTTCTAATCCAATTGCCATTCTTTATAGAAATTTTGAGGCCACTATGGAGTTTTTCCATACATAAACCTCCCCATATGAAGACTTATTAAGGTATTAACATCTTACACACATTTGTGATTTCCTTACACTTTTCTACAGTGAGCTCGGGAAAAATCTAAGGGGCCCTAGATACTCATGATGCTCGTCAAAGTCTCAACTTTGTAAATAAGTTAGACAAGTTTAACAATAGGACCTTTTCTTTTGGTTCCTCTTTGAGAAATATTTTCTTTTAGTATGTGCAAATAACTCTCAGAAATAGCAAACTGAAAGAGTTTGAGGTATGAAAGTAGTCCTTCCGGTCCCAAGTACTGAGAAATGACAACAGGGGTCATAATAAGAAAAACTCAAGCTCAGGCACAGTGGGATTATTTAGCGTGGGGTCAAATGGCTTCATGTTGTATACATCAGTGACAATGAGAACACTATATAGGAGTGATATTGAAGTTTTTTAACAAGTTATGTAGCATGGGCATTGATTGATCTGATGGATGTGGGTTGAATTTGTATATACTTGCTAAAGTGTTGGGAGCCACACTGGCCTTGCTGGATGACAGTCACAGTGAGGAAATGGCAGTGTTTGCACAGCTCCCGCCATGAGAAACGAAAACTGGTATCTTCTTCTGCTACTACTGGCTCATGTTGGAAATGAGCCTGCTGATATTGACCAGGCCAAATATTGACCATCTGATATTCCAGATCAGACCAATATTCCCCACACAGAGTGCTCATAAGGAAAAGCATATTCCTGCCTTTGAGATTTCATATGAAAGCATTGTGGATGATTGTCAAAAGGCTCTTCCTATGGGCCTTGCAGATCCAAGACTTACATAATAAAGGTGGCTAAGAACATAAGAGTTACAATTGAGTCTGGCCTTGAGACAAAGAGCTTAATTTAGAGTTAAGGACAGATATCCACCCCCACCCAATTGTTTCTGCTTGGAACACCAGCCCCCCCACCAAGGCATTTGTGATCAGTATTTGGAGTGACTTATTTTGGCCTTAAATATGCTTATTGCACCCTGTGAAGGAACCTATTGAGGAACTTTTTCTTTTGTGATTATGGGAGCAAACATTGTGTTTCCTGAAAGACTTGTTTATCTTGATACTTCTCCTTAAACAAACAAGCTATTGACCCCTGCCCACAAAGAACTAACTTCACCCTTTTTTATGCTAAAAACATTGTCTTGTATGCTAAAGATACCTTCCTTCCCCCTAGGATAAGCATCTAAAGCACCTACCTCAATCACTATTGATAAAGGTTATGCATGAGTCTTCTACAAATCTATGTTCTGGGAAATTCTTACATATCAAAGAAGTTTGTCATCAGAAATCATTGTCTAAGGCTTCTGTGCCGTCCCCCAAACACTTAATTATAAAATAAAGTTGAGCCCCAGTCAGAGCAGAGACGCCTGCCTGGTGACCAGAAAGAATCTTGTGGCTGTCTCACTCCTTCCCTCACCGACATCGTCCCTCCTTCAGGGACCCCTGGACCCAGCCAGAGCCGGTCTCTAACAGTAAAGGTGGAGCTGCCACAGGTAAATGATTATTCTATGTTTATATGGCCAGGCCTACTGCTGGATTAAAAACAAAACTGAATAAAACATTCTGAATGGTGAGATTGTTCCTGATCTCAGTTATCTGTAGGACAGTTGTGTTTAGTAGCAAATAGAAGCGATTTATTAGCAAGTCACAACAGGCAGTAGTGAAATCATGGGCTTTTTGTGTCTTGACTCTGAGGATGTTAAGGGGTATCCTGGGTATCTTGAAAGCATGCAGCATGCATTTTGACCCAGTGGGTCAGCTTTCTGGACTGTATTTTAAGGAGAGAATTGAACAAATACATGAAGATGTATGAGAAAAGATGTTCATTGCTGCTGTTTATAGTCATGAAAATACTATAAACAACTTAAATGTTCAATAGTAAGGGGTTAATTACTTAGTCAATTAAGCATGACCACACATTGCCGTTAAGAATGTAGTCAATGCAGTGCATTTGCTGACATGGGAAGACAGTTACTATTGATTGTTAAGTGAGAAAAACAGCTCTTACAACAGCACACATGCACGTGGGGATGCGGTAGCATATATTGAATATAAGAATTGTTTCTGTCAAGAAAAACACTAGGAAGATAAAATTCTTAGAAGAGCTGATAATGAAAAATGTTAATGGTAGTTGTGTTTTTGGATGTTAAGATCACTTAGTCTTACCCCTCATGAGCCAGAAATAGTCAAGGGCCAATAAAGAGAATGGGTCAAAAAGAAGAAGAAGAGGAAGAAGAAGAGGAGGAGGAGGAGGAAGAAGAGGAAGAGGAAGAGGAAGAGGAAGGAGAAGAAGAAGAAGAAGAAGAAGGAGAAGAAGAAGAAGAAGAAGAAGAAGAAGAAGAAGAAGAAGAAGAAGAAGAAATGGGTCCATGTACATTATTTTAAGGAATGCTTTCTCCTCATAACTCTAACAAGATGCTTTTCTGATCCACCGATGTTTCCTTAGCAGGTGTTGCTAGCACAAAATCCATGGATGACCACCAGTAAGGGACTCTACATTGGAATCTGCATTACTGCTGTGGTATTGCTCACTGTGTTGGTTGTCCTGATTA